CTGTGATATTGTAGTGGAAGCACTGACTTTGTTAGTTGTTACTGCAAACCCTAGTTTTGTAAAAGTTATTTCTTAGAGTTATTGGCATATTGCTCTGAGTTTATTGCGAATTTGTGATCTATTTTGTGTCTCTGTGAGTCTGTGATAATGTGGTGGAAGCACTGACTTTTTATGAAAACCCTAGTGTTATAAACTTGATTTCAGAATCTGTGAATGTGTGATATGTTGTGTGACATTATGGATTTCTGGTGGAAGCACTGACTGTGTGTGATTATGATTTCTATGATTCTTTGAATTGTGGACTGTGATTAAGTCAATCTGTTGAGAAGTTCCAGATTGTATATCACTTGTCCCTTATCCCTTGTTTGTGATGTTATGATACTTGATTATGGTTTCTATGATTCTTTGAATTGTGGACTGTGATTAAGTCAATCTGTTGAGAAGTTCCAGATTGTATATCACTTGTCCCTTGTCCCTTGTTTGTGATGTTATGATACTTGATTATGGTTTCTATGATTCTTTGAATTGTGGACTGTGATTAAGTCAATATGTTGAGAAGTTCCAGATTGTATATCACTTGTCCCTTGTTTCTGGTGGAAGCACTGACTGTTATAACTTATAAGAGTCTTATGAATTTGAGTGTTATAAACTTATAATGTCTCTTAAAGGCTTTAATTGGTGGAAGCCCCTTAGAAATTCAGTTAATGATGTTGATGAAATGAGCTGTTTTTATGTTATAACAGTCTCTGATTCATCTGGATATTTTAAATATATCCCTGAATCTAGATTTCTTTGTAAGTTTATGGATGTATTCCCTTAATTGTATTTGTATATTTGTAATTTTGTATTGAATAATGCCTTTTAATTAATTATGCATTCCTGACTAATGATGACACAAAATGTGTCTGATTCTGGAATGCTTTTGAATCCTGTTGTGTGTACTGATAGTTCACTATTTTTAGATGGATAATATCAGTATGCCTGGTACTCCTGGTAGTCAACCTCCCAGCTCCCCAATTGATGGACCTTCAGGGGTGGAAGCCCAAACTGTTGAGAATCAACAGAATGAGCAACCTCCTACTGCTGTTCCAGCCAAGAAGAGGAAACAGGTTGCTTCCAAATCACCAGTGTGGGATCATTTTGAGGCAATAAAGGACACTAATAATGTGGTTGTAAAAGGCAAATGCATTTATTGTGCCAAAATTTACCACTGTGAGACAAAAAAACATGAGACTTCTTCCTTAAGAAATCACATGTTTAGCTGTTTGAAAAATCCTCACTCCAAGGAAACTAGGCAGTCCCTGTTAACATTTCAGGCTGTTACATCACTTACAGATGGTCAGCCTACTGTGGGAGAAATAGGGACTTGGGTTTTTAATCAAGAGTCAATAAGGAGGGCCTTGGTTGAAATGATAATCATAAATGAATTGCCCTTTAGGTTTGTGGAGGGAATAGGTTTCAGGAGGTTCATAGCTATTGCTTGCCCTAGGTTTATAGTTCCATCCAGGTGGACTATAAGTAGGGACATCCTAGTTGTCTATGATGAGGAGAGACTGAAATTGAAGCAATTTTTAAGGGGAAGCAGTTATAGGGTTAGTATCACTACAGATTCTTGGACATCCATCCAAAGAATTAACTACATGGTAGTTACTGCCCATTTCATTGATTCTGAGTGGAAGCTTCATAAGAAAATCCTTGCATTTGTCCCTGTTACTTCTCACAAAGGTGAATATCTAGCCAAAGCCCTAGAAAATTGTTTGCTTGAGTGGGGGCTTAGAGATGTGTTTTTTGTGACTCTTGATAATGCCTCATCAAATGACACTGCTATGGGGTTTCTGAAGAAAAAAATGTTGTCTTGGGGATCATCTACTGTGAGGACAAAGTATCTCCACATGAGATGTATTGCTCATATCTTAAACCTAGTAGTTCAAGATGATCTTAAGGATTGTGATAGTTCAGTTAAGAAGGTTAGGGAGGTGGTTAGATATGTTAGAAACTCTCCTGCTAGACTCAAGAAGTTCAGAGATTTGGCTGATTGGTTGAGTATTGAACAAAGGTCTTCTTTGTGTTTAGATGTTCCAACCAGATGGAACTCTACCTATTTGATGTTGCAGTCTGCATTAACTTACCAAAAAGTGTTTGAATCTTTGGAGTCAGATTGCTCTTTCAAGTCTGATTTGGGTAATTCAATTCCTGATTTTATGGACTGGGAATCTGTTGGCAGTCTGGTTCAGTTACTGAAGTGTTTTTATGACATGACCATTAGAATTTCTGGTTCTTTATATGTCACCTCAAACACATTCTTTACTGAGATTTCTGATCTCTACTGCCTATTGATAGGCATGGTGGAAGTTGGTGGGCCAGTTGGTGTGATGGAGAAAATTATGAAGGCAAAATTTGAGAAGTATTGGGGTGATGTGGAAAAAATGAATCTAATGATATTTTTTACAAACATTCTAGACCCTAGTGACAAGTTAGAGTATATGCCTACTCAGTTTAATCATATGTATGGTGAGGAAAAGGGTCAACCATTCTATGACAAAGTAGTTGCTGGTCTTGCTGAGTTATTTGATGATTATTCTACATCTGCCTCTTCTTCTGTCCCTTCTGTGCCTGTGTCTGTACAGCCTACATCTGCCTCTTCTTTTTCTGTTGGGAAGCCACAACATTTTCTGAAGTCCCAAATTAAAAAGCAAAGATTGGAGTATGGGGGTAAGAAACAAACTGAGTTGGATATGTACTTGAGTGAGGGAATAGTTGAAGAGGAAGAATCTTTTGATATACTTGGATGGTGGAAGATCAACTCTGCTAGGTTTTCAGTTCTGTCTAAGCTTGCTAGGGATGTCCTAGCCATTCCAATCTCCACTGTAGCCTCAGAATCTGCCTTCAGTACTTCTGGAAGAGTATTGGATCCTTTTAGGAGTTCTTTAACTCCAAAAATTGTGGAAGCATTGGTGTGTACACAAGATTGGCTTAGAAAGCAAAATACTCCTTTATGTATTGAGGAGAATCTGGAAGAGTTGGAGAGGTTTGAAAAAGATATGACTTTTTAGTTTTAACATTATAATCCTTTATACTTATATTTTAAATTGCTTAAATTGTTAATACTTTTCTTGTTTATTTTGCAGAGTTAATTGGTGATGGTGGAAGTGGGCAATCGTTATATCCTACACCACGGCGCACATAGCACTGTGCGCCGCGCGCCTCCCAAAACGACGTCGTTTTGGGGTAGTGTTGGGAGGCGCGGTAGGAAGTTGCTGAGATTATGTGTATTTGTTCACAACGTTATGTGTATTGGTTCATACAGTTATGTGTATTTTTTATACAATTATGTACATTCTTTTTATACAATTATGTACATCCGAATCAGAAAATTTGTGTGTATTATGTTAAGAGTTGATGTGTATTATGTTAAAAGTTTATGTTTATTATGTATTATGTTAGATTATGTGTATTATCTTTTAAAAAGAGTATGTATATTTTGTTATATAATTATGTATATTCATGTATAACATTATGTGTATTCTAGCATAACATTATGTACATTCTTGAACAGCGGGTTTTTTTTTTAAAGAAAAAACTACTGCCATTCACTGGGGCGGGAAATTTCAAAAAAAAAAATAATTAAAACGACGTCGTTTTGCATCTGGGCGCATAGTGCAACGCGCGCCGTGGTGTAGGATATAAATTGCCGGAAGTGGGAGGTCTCTTGGTTCTACACTTGCTACAATTCCTGTAATGTTATTATTTACATTACTTGATTTACTTACTTGATTGTATTGCAATCTTTTACAGTATTTGACTGTTTAACTAAATTGCAATCTAATCTCACTTGCTATTTTTTGAGCCCACTGTGTTTGACTCAATTACACTGGACATCTGTAAGTCTCAAACTCTGTAAGTATGAAGGCCTGGTAACTTGTACTAAGTTGCTGCCTCAAGTACCTACCTTGGGCATTTGGTAATGTATGGACTATTTTATTATGTCTGTTCACTTTAAGTTGGCAAGTTTGGCAATGATGAAGCTTCCACCTTCAATCTGAAAAGGAAAGGATTAAGTTGGTCAGTTGCTCTATACTTAAGGTATATTGAAGCAATAGGCCCTTAATCCAAATGATATGGAAAAAATGCTTACTGAGCCAATATTTATATAATCCCTTCTCTGTTTTTCATTTTCTAATGCTTGCTCAGTTGCTTTACTTGCTTACTTGCTTGTGTACTAATTATCTACACTAACTTGCCACAATTCACAGGAAGAAGAATAACTCTAATTGTCTGAATTCTAAAAGTCTAGGAGTTGCTGAATGCTGAGTTGCTGATTTTGGGTGAATTTGTTTTTGTGGTGCTTCGGTTTAAAGTTTAAACAGTTGTGTATGTAGTATGTAAATTTGTATGTAGTAAGTAGTATACTAGCTAGTATGTACTTCTGTAGTTTTTTTGGAGTCTTAGACTCTTAGCCACTTAAGAGTTAAGACTCTTAATGTTAGTTAATAGACTACTTAGTAATAGTAATACTAATTACTAACTTAGTAACTTAGTATTACAGGTATTAGTCTATTACACTATCATTCTATTAATTATTTACTTATTTATTCAATATTTCAGACTTTCAGTTACTTATTATTGTGCTTTTGATTTTAATTTATGATTTTTTGATTTGATTTCAACAATTGTTAATAACCGAAATAATTTCGGATATCCGACCGACCCGACCCAAACCGAACAATGATATAACCGACCGGATAAGTCAACATTTTTAAACGGATAGGGTAGTCAAAATACATATCCGAAATCCGACCGGATGCACCTATCCCTCACCCAATCCGTCCGAACCGTCCGAACCGTCCGAATGCACACGCCTACATATACCTCATTGTTTTTATATTTTATAACAATAATAACAAAAAAAAAAAAAAAGATAAAAGAAAAAGAAAAAGAAAAAGAAAAAGAAAGGGATTAAGATGGAGATATTTTATTTCCAAAGTGCATCTATTTATTATGTGTTCTTGCTCTCACTACACTTCACACCATTGAGCTTAGAGCAGAGAAAAAACAGAGAGGAAAGATGTTAGAGAAGCTGTGGGATGATGTTATGGCCGGACCTCAGCCGGAAACCGGCCTCGATAAGCTCCGCAAAACCCTTTCCGTTCAAACAAGTAATCAATCGCCTTCTAAGCTTCAATATACATACATATATGTGATTGAATCGAGTTATTTTCGTAGAGATTTACAATTATCTTCTTCTAAATTAAACTTCAATATCTATATATATATATATATATATATATATATATATATATATATATATATATATATATATATATATATATATATATATATATATATATGATTGAAACGGAGTTATTTTCGTAGAGATTTAGAATGATCTTCTTCAAAACTTCAATATACATATATATGTGATTGAATCGAGTTATTTTCGTAGAGAATTAGAATTATCTTCTTCTAAACTTCAATATACATGTATATGTGATTGAATCGGAGTTATTTTCGAAGAGAAATGGAATTATGTTAGGTTTGATTGGGGTATGTGCAGGTGTGGAAGCTGGGGAAGGATCGAGCAGCAAGTACCAGAGGTCGATGACGATGCCGGCGAGCCCTACAACGCCGACGACGCCGTCGACTCCGTCTCCGACGGCGCGTAAGGAGAACGTGTGGAGGAGCGTGTTCCACCCGGGGAGTAACCTCGCCACCAAGAGAATCGGAGCAGCGGTTTTTGACAAGCCTATTCACCCCAACTCCCCCACTGTTTATGACTGGTACTATACATACACATACACATACATACCTCTCCTCCAATACATACATATATCATTATGTATTCAAAATAGCTGATAACCCAATTGAAATGGCTAAGGATATAATTCGTAATTACAGGATCACGAATTTGAACTAATTAGGTGGATCAATTTAGATTAAGTTAATCACCCAAATCAAAAAGGTGTCTTAATAAGTAGATCAGTTTAATTAAGTTGTTCATAAATATTTGGTTTAAATCATAATAAACAGTTTTATTAGGAATTAAATTTAAAATTTTATAATTATAAAGTTAATTATTCAATCAATTTGGTTAGAGAATTTAGATTTTTTTTTTTTTTTTTTTTTTTTTTTAGTTTTGGAATTGTAATATTGGTATCTGGTATCAATTAACATTTTAAAATTTAATTTAATATATATGTGCAGGATGTATAGTGGAGAAACCAGATCCAAGCATCGTTGAGGATTGAGATAAGAGATGATGGATATATACATGTAAATACAAGCTATATATAATATGAGTGCTTCACTTCTTGTACTATCGATATGATCTTTTACTTGGATCGGCTACTACAAAAATGTTGTCAAAACACATCGGTTTTACCATAACCAATCTATAAGCTCACCAAAAAATCTTCTCTCGAAAAATTGAATCTTCAATTACAAGAGCTCTTTATATCCTGACATGACGGAACATTTGTGAAGATTTATAAGTTCACCAAAAAATCTTCCCTTAAAAAGTTGAATCTTCAACTACAAGAGCTCTTTATATCCTAGCACGACAGAACATTTGGAAGGATGTAGATCACGGTGACACAATGACTCAGCGAAATCCTTGATCCTATGCATACTAAGAATCTATGATTAGTACTTTAATTTGCTTGCTTATATGTTAATCACTATGTGTAATCATGTCTTTTGTTTAATCTTTATGTCGTTTCTTCTACTCTAATGGTTTGAACTTTGAAATGAAGGTGTACTTTTTATGAATTTTGTCTACTCTGAATGACCTAAATATCTATAAATCCGTCTTGAATTGTTTTGTTTTTTTTTAGTATGAAATAAATAATTAAATAAAATTGAGCTACTATGTAATGTTGTTGATCCTTATCTTGTAAGAATCAATAATTAAGTGAGCACTCGACAGAATGGCCCCCACATTTGTTTGTGTCCATTTTTTTTTTCTCAAAAAAAAAAAAAAAAAGTTCCAATCCAGCTTTAATAAGAAACTGTTTTTTAATGATGAGTAACGTGATGAGCAAATAATGAAAATATTTGTTACTCATGTTAAATGAATGAGATAATATGATTTAAAAAAAAAAATTAATTAGAGATTTTTATTCGAGGTTTGTACTTTATACAACTCATCACGCAACAACCTTTTGAGAGTTTTCGTAAAATTTTAGAATAAAAATGTGTTAAAAAATATAGAGATAATATTAACTTTATACTCAATACAAATTAAAAGTTGTATTATTTATCTTTAAAAATACTCAATATAAAGTCTTAAACATCATTCGATAATTTAAAATTTTTCATATATATATATATAATTCTGATAGAGGATAAGGTAGAAGTGGGTCCGAGTGTTGAAAAGGATGACCGACAATAATTGTTGAAGTGATGCGTATGTACTAGATATGCATTTCGTGAATGTTAAAATATGTTCAAAAATTATTTCTTTTTATTTCAACTTATCTTTTTTTTTTTTTTTTTTTAATGTATTGTTGTCGTATCACGGTATCAGAAAGAAAATTGTGTTTGATTATTGCTCCGTATCTCTAATATAAGAGTAAATACCTAAAATGGTTCCTCAATTATAGCTAAATTCACAAATTGATCATTGACTTTTAATTTCAACCAATTAAGTCTTTAACTTTGCAATTTTGACACGATTTGGTCCTCTATTTATTTGACCGTTTGTTGACCGTGATCAACGATCTCCAGAAGAACCTTCAGCTCTCGTCGGAGCATGTGGAGGCCTCCAGGATGGCGTTGCACCGGTTCGGAAACACGTCGTCTTCTTCGCTCTGGTTCGAACTCAACTATATTGAATCCAAAGGGAGGTGAAGAAAGGCGACCGGATTTGGTAGATTGCTTTCGGCGGTGGATTCAAATGTAACAGTGCGGTCTGAAAATGCAACCGGAACCTTAAAAAACTGACGATGGACCATGAAATTACATATATATCCTCAAAAATCACAGTCAACAAACAGTCAAATAGACAGAGGACCAAATTGTGTTAAAATTACAAAGTTAAGGACTTAATTGGTTGAAATTAAAAGTCGAGGACCAATTTGTGAATTTAACTATAGTCAATGGACCATTTTAGGTATTTACTCCTTTAATAATACTGGCCAATATGCACAAAGAATATAGGTAAAAGCATCCGTACTAGTGTATATTTAGGGGATAATATCAGCAAAAATTATGATAATTAGGAGAGAGAGTGGAGGGTTCTTCCGCCAAGATCGGGTTAGGGCGCAACTCAAGAAAAAAAATGAAACGATGTGCGCAAAACAGCTTGGCCAAAGCCGGGTGTGTGCACTGCATGCGCCCGGTGGCACGTCAGGCACGCCTGACTTCACGATTTACATTTTTTTTTTTAAATTCAATTTTATTTATTTATTCTTTTTTCTCCCCTCTCTCACATTCTCTTTCCTAATCACTTTTACAAAAACCCCTCAAAAATCAAAGTTAAACTACTATGGATGCTCTAAGAATGATCATCATGAATTCATGATTGATTCATGAGACCCTTCACCAATGTACCACTCAATAAAGTGATTGATTTGAATCCTAAAAGAGTGAATTCGTCACTTTGATAATAATTAATTCACTAATTCTGTACCAAATAATTGAGAGACTAAGACTCTGTTTGGCAACCTAGCTGAAAAGCTATAAGCTAGGAACTGAAAGCTGAAAATAAGCTGAAAGCTGAAAAGCTATAAGCTCGGAGCTGAAAACTGAAGAGTTGTTAAGCTAACTGTTATGATTGAAAGTGTTTGATAAAAATAGCTTTTTGATAAGCTGATAAACGTAAAAAGACTAAAAAGGACATATTCATAAAAATTAAATTAGTTTGTTTACATATTAAAATTTAATATTTTGTCTTTAAAAAAATTAACATTTTGAAATAAATTTATTAGCATAATCATGATCTAGCATATCATAATGAAGTAGCAATATTATTGCAAATCTCATAATATAATAATAATAATAATAATAATAATAATAATAATAATAATAATAATAATAATATTTGCGGTGAAAGTTGCGGATAAAGGAGAAGAGAAAAGGGTTTTAATTGAGAATGGTAAATTATGTAATTTTTTTTTAAAATAATAAGGATAAAAATAGGAAAAAAAAAAAGTTAAGAAGCTAGAAGCTTATTTTGGTAACGTTATCAAACAGAGCTTATAACTTATTAGTAGCTTAAAATAAACTATAAGCTCATAAATAAGCTCTGCCAAACAGAGCCTAAATCTACAAAATTGTTATAATTAAAGAATTAAGTGTCATTTTTTAAAAAAAAAATTGAACTTTCATATATTTTTATAAATATACAAATCTACCAAATTAAATTATAAGAAGTTTGAAAGTATGTAATGTTGTTCAAACAAAACGTCAAAACATACAAAATGGAAAGAAAAAAAACATATTCGATTCTCTCTTGTAGCGAAGCGAAGAGATATGGTACAATGATTCCCATAGAATCCGCCCATAGGATTTGGTAAACATTAAACAATGGGCTGTTTCTTGCTGGAGACTGAACATACTTTCTGCCTTTCTAGTTTTTTTTTTTTTTTTTTTTTTTTTTTTTTTTTTTTTTTTTTTTTTAGGTTCTAATTTCGAGTCCTTGCAAAAGTTGCTTGTTGACTTTTTAAGGAATTTACGCAATGGTCTTTTGATTATTGCGATTTTTAAAAATTGGTCCTTATCTTTTAATTTGGACAAATAGACCCTTGACTATCAGATTTATTTCAATATTGATCTTTTCGTTAGAAATCAGTTTGTTAGGCGTTAGGTATGGGCTAAAATGATCTTTTCCATAGCTATTGCTTTCTTCTTCCTCCTTGTCCGACCACCGGCCATCTTCTGCTTCACTGTTTTACCTGAATCACTTCTATCCGCAGGTCGGAAATAGAGCTTGACGTCGGAAATAGAGAAGCAGAAGATGGTCGATAGTCGGACAAGGGAGGAAGAAGAAAGCAATAGCTAAGGAAAAAATCATTTTAGCCCTTATACTAACGCCTAACAAACTGATCTCTAACGGAATGATCAATGCTGGAACAAATCTGATAGTCAAGGGTCTATTTTGTCCAAATTAAAAGACGATGACCAATTTTGAAAAATTGCAATAGTCGGAAGACTATTGCTGGATTGCTGGAATTAACTCCTTTTTAAAGGGTGTGCTTGATTTGGTGAAAGATTAATTAACCCACTGAACTGACAAAATTCAGTTAATTGTTTCTTAACTGAAATAATTTGGTTCAATTAATGACTAGTAATTGTCCCGTGCGATGCACAGATTATTAGTATTTTTATATAAATTGGAAGGGGTATGCACAGATTATTAGTAATTTAACAAATTTACCAATTAAATTTTTGACATCCTCTAAATTAGCAAAGAAAGTAATAGCTGTGGAAACAGAAAAACATACCTAAGTTCTTCAGCTCCTAAAAATATTCTTCTTCTCTAGATTGCACAGTATAAAGCTCTATAAGAGATCTAAGCTCTCAGAAATATTCTTCTCCCTATTCTAGTCACGACCATCCTCTCAATTCCAGACACAACCAAAACATAATTGTAGTATTGGTTATGGATGATGACTTATTTATAGTGTTGAAATAGGTGTAGATGTTCATGTAAATATTGATTCTGTATTTTAAATTTATCTCCAATCAATTAATGTTAGTCTTGGAGATTGTAAAAGTCATTTGTAATTCAAAACATGTAGTTATTGGAATTTGCAAGAATAATTTGTTTATTGAAGTAAATGTGAACACAATTAATGCATTCATACTTTGCTAATGTTATTTGCAGTTGGTGTGGAGATAGTAAATGCTTATACATTAGAAACATAACATAATTATTGCAATGTTAATTCTCAATTATGGATCAACAATTATTACTCAAATTAATTTTGTGAATTACTCTCCTCTCTCTTTTTGCTTATTATTCACTTTGATTTTCTTTTCATATTTATTTAATTATTTATGATGATTATGAAGTTTCTAAACTCTTGATATTCCATAACTCCCAAATGCAACAAATTGCGGGAGAACTTTATCCCTTTCATTTTGCTTTAGGCTCTGTTTGGCAAATCTAGCTGAAAAGTTATAAGCTCGGAGCTAAAAACTAAAGAGCTGTTAAGCTAGCTGTTATGATTGAAAGTGTTTGGTAAAATTAACTTTTTGATAAATTGATAAATATAACAAGACTAAAAAGGATATCTTCATAAAATTTAAATTAGTTTGTTTACATATTAAAATTTAACATTGTCTTTAAAAAATAATTAACATTTTGAAATAAAACTATTAGCATAATCATGATCTAGCATCTCATAATGAAGTAGTAATATTGTTGCAAATCTCATAATAATAATAATAATAATAATAATAATAATAATAATAATAATAATAATAATAATAATTGCGATGAAAGTTGCGGATAAAGGAAAAAAAATTAATTGGAAAGTATAAATTATGTCATTTCTTTAAAATAACTAGGATAAAAATGGAAAAAAAAAAGTTAGGAAACTATGAGCTTATTTTGAAACGCTATCTAAGGTGACTTTTCAAAATAAGCTTTTATTTTAAGCTAGGAGCTTATTTTGAGAACATTACCAAACAGGGTGTATAGCTTATTAGTAACTTAAAACCAAAGTACCGTATGCGTGTGTATACTATATGGGGCAATTATTTATAGTTCATAAATTATACTATCAGACTAGTGTTTAAATTTTATTATTTATATACAGATGTAATGACTATATATATATATATATATATATATATATATATATATATATGTGTGTGTGTGTGTGTGTGTGTGTGTGTGTGTATGTATGTTGTGGTATGAAAATATACATTTACAAATTTTATTTATAAATTTTAAGATTTTTAAATTGTATTAAAATATTTTAGTTAATCAGTTAACGAACCAGTTAAATTAAAATAAAAAAAAAACGATTAGATTAATTCAGAAATAGAAATTTCGATTTGATTAACAGTTTACAAATTCGGTTCGATAAAATTAACACTGATACGCTTAATTACCCGATACATGTGAAATGTATACCGTATGTATGTAGAATAAGGAATAAATTCAAGAATCTTAGCTCAAAGGAGTCTTTATTAATTATTGTTCTTCTATTTTGTAGAGAGAGGGAAGAGATGTACATCTAGAGAGAGAGAGTGTCGTCAAGAGAGGGCTAATGCCCCTTATATAGGGGCAAGCATTGACGGGTTTAACTTTGACCCGTTAATCCAAACCGTCTGACACCGACCCGACTACCAAACGAGAACACGAACGTATAAAGAAGTCAAAATCAAAGTATATTCCCTATCAAACACCCCTGACTTTCTTCATTTAAACTAATCAGTTATAAACAACCTAAATTAGTTTACATTTTTTGTGGTCTTTTATGAACTTAAGTCACAAGGCAACTTCACCCAGAAAACACCTTTGAATGTCGATGGTGAGCTTTCCTTTGAAAAAAAAAAAAAAAAAAAAAAAAAAAAAAAAAAAAAAAAAAAACATCATTATTGATCAATGTAAAATGATTTTCTATGTTTTTAGGAGAAAATTATTTTCAATCTCTTAATACATCGTTATTTTGATTATTTCATTAATCTCAACAACAAAACCTTATCATTAGGAGATTTTGTTTGTCAAAAATTTGAAATTGTAAGAAAATTTGACAATGTCATGAGTTACTATAATGTTGTACGTTTTGTAAAAGGAAAATAATATTTAAACTCCCTAATTTTACTCCCAACTTTTACTTTCTCACTTAAACTTTTGATGTAGACATTTTCTTTTGGACCCACATTATGTAAGATAAGAAAAAGACTACATGTACTCTCACTTTTTACTCTCAACTTCTACTCACTCTCACAAATTGTTGATGTAGACACTTTTTCTGGAACACCTACATGATGAAAATATCATATCCTTGTTTTGTCACATCATGATGTAAAAGTGAGGGAGTAAAATTTGAAAGTACATGTAGGATGTAGCAGAACTCGTAAGATAATTTATCAATGGTTGCCACGTCAAGGAGTAAAAGTGAAGAAGTAGAGATTGAAAGTCCATGTAGTAAAACTCTTTATAAAATTACACCTTGTGCTTTGCAAGTTGTACACTTATGCCTTATGTACCTCAATCATTATGGTGTTATACCATGGACCATAGTGCACCTTGCAAGATGAACCATTGACATAAAGTTCGTTTTTAGTACATTGAATGTTCATCTTCTGAAGTCTGAAGGTTCATTTTTAGATATACTACCAAAAAATGAAAATTCAATATTCTAAAAATGAACATTTATTCATGATTCATATTGCAATATGAATCATGGTTCATAGTATAATTTGCCTATATACCTCTAACAAAACACACAAGATACAATTTTAGACAGAAATCCGGGGCATTGTAAAACTGGAGATGACACTGCAGAAACACTAGACACAAAATGAATAATAACATCCCCCACAGTAACAAACTTTAACCTAAGAGTAAATATGTAGGATATTTCATACAGAAGGAATCTTAGGGGGGAAAAGGGTGCATATACTTCTAACAATTTAACCTAGTATCATTGGTATCTCAGAAAAGAAATGTTTATAACATACAGGAACAACTAGTCAATGTGTTAGTGTTGTTTTCATCGGGCTATATATAGATCACACCTTCATAGATGTATAGATACAATACAAAGGATTAACTGACCTTCCCACTTGGTTAAACAGCTAAATTGAAATTGCCAAGTATCTGTGCACAGCATGTTACACGAACCGCGTCAACGTTTGTCGTTTGTCATTTGTCATTCCCTTCATCACCACCGCCTCTACTCCTTTGGCTTTCGGCGGTATGCCAGAAGCTGAAGATTGAAATGAATGTTATGACTTACGAGATGGGAGAATATAGGTCTCTTTTGGATTTGCGGTATGTATACTGTAAATGCACATCTTTATAAACCTAAGATGAAGCGAAAGCAAGTGCTTACCAGGTTACATTGACTAAAGCCACAGCTTGGTTGGATTTCTTCCAATGTCTGGTGTTCTTGTAACTTGTCGAATTCGCTGTTGCAAGGCACCCCTGCGACTGATTTGGTGATGGGAACAGCCTCTGAGCTTGAAGGTTTATCAGTAGGAGAAAGCTCTTTCATTACCAACATGTCAATTTCATCGGCTTGTATTGAGGTCTGCAGCGAGACATACTGTATAGAGATGCAATCAAAATCGAGCATTGCAATGAAAAAAAAAAAAAAACAATTGTTTATTACAAAAAAAAAAAAAATATTAAAAAGGTTTTAGATCTGAAATATTTACTTGGATCAAATGTTTGACTGTCAAAGTGGGCCTGCAGCAAAGGTATGGTCGCTGCAAACTTGGAATATCTTCCTCGCACAAGGAGACAAGCATCAGACCAATATCAACCTGTAAAAAAAAACAAATAAATGAATAATTCTTAAAATAAAAATAAAAAAAATAAAAAGTGAAATCACTCTTATTATGTAAACAAGCATACAGATCACAGAAGCTTGATTACGCAGCAAGTTTACCTTTGCATCATTTTCACTTGAATGTTGAAGAGATTCAATCAGCTTTGAGACTCTGCTACTCCTGCAAAGCCTGCCATTACGACCACCAAGACTGCCATACCTATTTTGAGTCTTTTGACTTCGCATGCCACCCTTCCCCCAGGCAAGAATTTCTGAGCTGCCAATAAGAGCTGTTGCAACAAGTGACTCTCTGTTCATTTCTGAATCATTTTCATCACAGCCTGCATTGGCATTGCCAGCTGTTGAGCCTTGGGAAAATCGACCTCCCAATCTTTTAGGCCTTTTCGGTTTGACCTCTGCACTGTGATCATCACCAGAAGACGAATCTTTGTCATCATGACCATTGGCATCCTCATCGTCATCAGATCCTTGAGGCTCAACTCGTTGGTTTCTCCGTCTCCTTAAGTTTCTGTTGCCAGATCTCCTTATAAATGCTGGAGTTGCTCTTGATGTTCTTTTTCTACCCAGTGCTTCTGTTTGCCGTCTAAGTGTCTGGGCAATTGAAGCTTGAATCTGCTGACAAAGCAGAACAACTCTAAGTCTGGAAAAATATCAAATAAAGCATGAACTATATGTTTTTAAGGCATTCATATGGTTAATTTGGCCATTTCTAAAGATTACAATGTTCAACACTGATACAATCATCATGCAAATACCCAGGGCTCCATTACCAGTCTACCACAGAGAAGTATTTAGCTTCTTTAGTACTCCCACTTCACATTCACAAGGCCAAGCTACAAACGCAAGCGAAAAGCATAACATATATTTTCATACTTCCCAGAATTTTCGTACAGAATTAAAATGTCATTTCCAGCTCATTAGAGTGCTTAAACTATAAAGAGTTAGCAGACATTACACTAACCTGCTTATTACGAGCCATCTCCTCTTCATGAAAAGCCAATTCCTACACAGATTAAGACAAATATCTTCACATAATGGTTCAAAGGAAAGACAAGAAGTTGTCTGTAATACTACCTCTTCCTCATATTTATCAATATCTGGATATAATATTGCTATTAGGGCATCATAGTTTGGATCATCCCTCAAAGAACGGCGACTAGCACAGTGTGTGCGACAAGCAGGACATTCATTGTTCCTATGTCACAATTCTTCAATTAGTTCACATAACAACTGTTTGATCAGAAAAGGATAAAACTAAATCAATACCCCATTCGCATAGACTTGTCAATGCATTCTCTGCAAAAACGGTGTAAGCATTCCATAACCGTTCTTGTCTTTCGGATAATGCCTGCCCTTCCGCAGTGATAAGAAACATTAGCACATATAAGTTGATATTTAACTTGCATATAAATGGAGGCAGAGATATGAATTAAAGAGACCTTAAGTTATCCAAAATCCTTTCCATGAGATATAAGGAAAAAAGAATAAAAAGATAAAAACAAGTACCCCCAAATAATTCATGACAACCATAATTCAATTGATCAATATGGGTTAACCTGAGAGACATCAGAGCTAATAACGTAGAAAATTAGGTGCCTCGAGTAACTTTCATTTAACTTATAATAGATAAGTCTTTATAAGCAGGATGATTCATTTTGGTATCACCAGACAAGAAACATTGACGCACTAAACTTGAAGTCACATTCTGAAAAACTATCATCCCAAAAAAACTAAAGGGAAAAAAAAAAAAAAAAAAACTTAAGTATCTGGAGGTTAGCCGTAAGAAAAACCTATTTGAGATTTTGAGCATTTGAAACACTAATACTGAGATTCAGTCTTAAAGCAAGATAATCGCTGCTAATAGATTAAGCATGTGTTTTTCCCTTCCTTCTGCTAGTTTCCACAAAACACCACCTCTTAATGTATGATACTATGATCTAGGGGTTTAAAACCTTCAAAAGCAATTTCTACCTGGTTTCACAAAACCTTCAAAAGCAATTTCTACCTGGTTTCACAAAACCTTCAAATATAGCGGTTGGTGGTTCTCTTTCATTTCCTTGCATTCATTGATGGTTTTCCTTCTGAGGACATTGTTTTCAACAATTTAAGTTCCCAAGTAACCCAAATTTAATGCAATATATGCTAGTTCATTCTCCCTTCATTGCCACTGCTCAAGAGAATCCATCATGACTTTGACAGGAGGTAGTGACTCAAAGGAGTTCTCATACATGTATGATTCTGACATGAGACCAAAATAAAAATAGAAAAAAGTGGATGTGCAGGACAAGCTAATTGATGAGGCCATGGGCATGGTATGTCACATAAGTATATTCGGAAGTCCCCTTGGCGAGTATTGTTGAACAAAATCCATTTAATGTTCCTACAACTGATTATGCAGGTTTAGAAGGAAAGAATATGTTGGATTCCTTGAGGTTAAGGCTTCACAACAGGCATCAACACCATTACTTACTTTGTTCAGTTAGGTAACCACACCAGCTTGCCTTTTAAGTTTTAACCCTTGGGTTATTGATTTGGGGCTTCTGATTACATGTCAGCTTGTCTTATACCTAAGCTACATTATAATATCTTAACAGTCTAAACTACAGCCAGAAAACCAAAGAGACTGCCCAGTACATTGACACATTCCACTGAGATCTGCATTGTAGCTAAACACACCTTGAGTCTGGCACAAGTTGCATCAGATTACTGCAGAGAGGTGTACAATTATATCTAGAGAGCTTGAAATAAGCTTATCTTTTAGGATATTAGTAGAGCATATTACGAAGACAGTTCGTGCACAAGATAGCATGCATACAAAAGATGTAGCATAAACAATTCTGTCGCATCCATCAAAAACTAAAATAAAAGAGTGTGGAAAGAAAGAATAGCAATACCTAAACATATTGGACATTGCACTTCTTTGCGTATTTCTGATAACCTCAGAGTGATAAATCTGCAAAAGAGAAATTTACTTGCAATTAGATAACGTCATCATTCATTTCAGTAACTATATTCTCAAATACCTTTACTCATAACATGCTGCCACAAAAATGTATAGTAGTAACCAGAAATGCAGAAGGGAACTTGAGGAAAAGAAAGACCATTAAAAATAATACATAAAGTAAACCAGAAAATCTGTTTGGAGAGATATTTTCCCTGGGGTCCACTTCATATTGTCTAGTTCAAATGTCTTTTCAGTGTTAGTTTTCAACCTTTTTCATTAGCTATTAAGCAACAGCACAACAGCTAAACACGAAACCTTGGAAAAGGAAAGAGCAGTCATGAACATGTTTGGAGTTTGTACTCAAATGTTTGTCAACTTATCTTACAACTGATGTGCTTGTGCTTGTGCTTGTGTTTGAGTCACTATGTAAAGCAAATACATTAACATAATTTAGAGCCTAAAAATGCTAAATATCGTTTCAAGAGAAGTTTCTATGGGATAAAACTTTTTAGATGTCATATGTCTGTTTAGAGGATCTAATTCAGAAAGATATAAGCAATTGATTTGAATTACTCTAATTCTTCTTGGAGCATTATTGTCTTTCTTTAATAGGAAAAAAAAATGTTTGACAAAATATGATTATATGAAAAGGAAACATACAATTTAGTCAAGACAATGAGTCCTCTGGTGAAAAAGATTCAAGAAATAAGAAAAAGCACAATTAAGAGAGAAAGACAGCTATATAAACACATCAAACCATGAAAAAATCAACATAAAAAAAAAAAAAAAAAAAAAAAAAAAAAAGTAAGACTGATCAAGAAGTGTAAAATTGTTTTTTACTTGAAAGTATATGTTATTATAAGCAGTTAAAGAAAAGTCTTCATTAATTTAGGCACAGGAACTAGAAGGATGCAAAGTTGCAATTCCATATTTCCATTCAAAATGTTAAGTGGTGCAACTTTTCATACTACAAGTTGACCTAAGCTGCAAAACATATGTTTGCAAACTAGTTAAAAAATGATAGGATATTAGAGCACAAAGTCATCTAAGAAATCAAGGACATGCAACAGCAAAATTGCAGCCCTTTTAATTACAGGCCTATAGTAATTTGTGATTCACTTCGGTAAGGGCCTGATACAGATTGAAAATGTGCAGGGGGGAGAAAGAATGGTCCTTATTGCAGGGCATAAAGATCATGTCTTGTTCTCAGAACTGGAACTGAAGCTAACACAAACAAATGAGTTATTAAAATTAAAGAAAGACCATCAGTCAAATGATATGGTAATATTTTGAAACCCAATAAAGAATAATGTGTCCCTTCTTTTCTTTTTTTCCTCTCCTACTACCATTCTAGTTTTCACTACACCTACTAAAAGTCATTAATGCACTACCTTAAAAGTCATTACTTCTCTACGATTTCTATAATTTCTCTAAGCAATTTGTAGGCCACACTAATAAGCAAATACAAAAGCATACAAGATAACCCCTAGAATTTTGTATTCTTACCTTGACAACAGCTTTTATGCAATTACGCATTTCAGCTTGATCAACCAAACAGAGATTATTACATTACAATGCCTATATCTACACTTCTGGGCCAATTTGGTGCTTAGGACATGAACTACCTTAAATTCTATATCTTCTCCTCTTTTGCATCTTCTGTGGAGGTGGGGAAGCAAGTGTGGTGAGAGTAGGGGCATCTAAGATCCACCAAACTAGGTTGTATCAAATCAATGAATATTTTGGCTAGCCTCATCCCTACAACTAGCATATGAAAGAGACATGGGCACTTGGTCCAACACATTCAAAACTATGTTCTATCATTCTTTGTTGTTATACCCTTTTCTCAATTGCTTCTCTGGCACACACTATAAAGTCTCATCTAGTTGTATTTGTTATCATATTTGGATTTCCTTATTCCTCCAAAAGAAGCTAAGTTAGTGAGCACGGTAGGTTCAAACAGAACTACCTGCTTGGATGAGTTCACAAGAATCCTATTCAATTTCAATACCCGTAAAGTGAAACACTTACCACCTGCCACCATCCAACCCCAAAGTTTAAACATATAAGAACTTAATAAGAAACAAACAGGATAACAATTGGAGATAAACAGTATCAATCTATGATATGACTGAAACTTCCATATCAGCTTTCCAGAAAGGTGACAAGCATGAGAAAATCAAGATGGTACCAACTTGGTAGACCTTATGAAGCAACATGCAACCAATAAACAACTACTCACCTTAGATAAAACTGTAATGGTCACATGGATTATTTTCCTGTTTTTTTTTTTTTTTTGGAGATACATACAGAAAGGGTGTTTATCAAAAATAAGAAAATAAAATTAAAAGATATAAGCAGAAATTGAAATCTCTGGAAAATGTCCTCAAAAAATAAAATAAAATAAAGGCTAAACTCATTAAGAACTTATATGAACACCTTAAGCAATGCTCATGGAAACAAAACCAAATTCTGTAGCTAAACAAAGAATGTGAATCTCAAAGGGAACTATCATTGTAGATTTGTAGATGGAGAGCCAAAGACCTTGTCTACCAGTGGCATGCATCATCCGCTTGTGATTCTAAGTATGAGGGCACAAGTTCAATCCCCTCCCCTCCCCTCAGATGTACCCAAAAGGCCAAAAGAAAACACATCACCATAGATACAAAACATCAACTACCAAATTAACAGTAACATTCATATTTGCGAACAGGCTGAGTGAAATAACGAAACCACAAACCAGACACAACAAACATGCCTCTCCACCGTACATTTAGCCGAGAAATGCATACATATACATCACAGTCCGTATAAACAGATATAAGTTAATGCATCTTTTCGCGGATGCATATGACGTGAATTTTAAAGAGAAGAGGAAGTGAAAGTACTCGTCTTTCTCGGCATCACTTGAAGAAGAACTTTCATCCGAATCTACAAGTCAAACACAAAAAACAAAACAAAATCGTTGAGCAAAAACCAAAGCCGCCATCGAAATTCTACACTGACACGCCAGGCATCGAGAATGAAGAGTAGATTCCACGCGTAAACATAAACCTAAGATACGTAAGTACGTACCATCTCCTTCATCGGCTTCTTCGTCGTTCTGATTCTGATTCTCCGGGTGCAAATCGTCGTCCTTCTCCTCCTCCTCCTCCGTCGTGGGCGGCGGAGATGCCTCGCGCGAGCGCTTCTGTGCAGGCATTGACTAGCCAAGCTGGCAGCCGAGCTCGCCGGCGGTGGTAGCGGTGATTGTGGTGGTGGTGGTGGAGGAGGAAAGCGAACAAGGTGTAAATATAGTGTTTCTGCCTTCGTTGTTCGTAAATTTAAGTCAGAGCGGCTGCGTACAAGTCTTGAAGCAGACGGTACAGATATCCGATCGACTATTTCTTTTTGTATGACACACGCTTTTCTATGTAGAAGTTTAAATACATTATTCTATTATTATCACTTTCATTTTTGTGATGATAATTTTATAGTAGAGCAACATAAATCCATCATTATACATTTGAAAAAAAAAATTATACAAAAAATAGATTAATCTAATCAAATTTTAGTTAGATCACATTTACATACAATTTTTTACAATAATTATACTTCACTCACTAGATCACATCTTATTGGGGCTAATGTAATTACAAATTTCATTTATGGTAGGTAGTAAGTTGAGTTTGAATTTTAAAATTATGCTTGTCTTTTCACCTATTCGTCATGCCATGTGCCGTTTATTTTTAGTGTACTATTTGATGTGGTAAATACAGACAGGACTACAAGTAAATATAGATTGTTAGGTCATATCGTATATGGATCTTCTATTCGTCTGCTTGTTAGTTTAAGTTACTAAGTTCGAGAAAGGCGACAGTGGGTCTGAGAGTCCTGAGCTGATAATGATTCTAAGGGAAATGGCAAAAGTCCCTCCCCCCCCCCCCCCCCCCCCCACCCAGCATTTAATACAGTATTTATAGGGGTGAAGGGAACAC